CAACTGCAGAGTGTCACCTTGTCCGATGCCACATAAAATGACTATCCGCCCACTTGCCAGGCACTGTCACCAAACCAAGATAATTAAGTTGAATGAAAGAAATGTGTATTCTTACCCGCTCAATAAATCACCAGGAGGTCAAGTTCAAGTGAAAACAGCAAATAAGAAACAAAGTGAAGCCAGATGTTTGTCTGTTTTCCTTGAACTAACATTAAACGGATGTAATGACATTCAATCTAGCTTAGCATTTGTTTAACACTGCATATGCCAGTCTGAGCGTCTTGCGCATGATTAAAGAGCACTCCATGTTCCTCGACTGGTAAACTGGGGTGAGACATCTATATTTATTTTTAGTTTAATGTTCAGGGGAAGTAGTCCATGCATGTCAGGAAAGACAATGGACAGATGCATACATGGCTTGACATTGACTTGGAATAAGTGTGGTTTTCTCACAAACCACTTGCCCCTCCCAAAGCCTACATTTAGGCCTTTGGGAGGCATAGAGTCCATTCCATGGGTCTCATTCTTCTTAGCTGTTTGGATGAGACTTTGGGGTTCCTCTGTGTGATTGATGAGCCATGGCCAATTAGAGGCTTAGCCTTGGAGGCCCACAAAGACACCCATGATCTCAGACATAAACATTGGCAGCCATTGGGCCTGAAGATACCTGTTGTCCATCTAAAGAGGGCAAGCCTCCGGCCGGCAGCTGTGAGGGACAGCAGTTCTCCTTTGGAGGTTTCGGATGCTTTGCTGACTCAAAATACCTTTTAAAAAGAAGTCGGGTAGATTTTTAAAGGAGAACAAGAGTCTGTCCCACAGGAAAATTCCATGGGTTATGTCAGTATACAAGCATGGTGCCATCCTAGTGGGGGTAGGGTGGCGGATGGCTGCTCCATCTGACACCCTGTGGTTCACAAGTAAGAGGGCGCCAGCCAGGGGCTCATTAGACAAACTATGACAACAAGATGTTGCCCTTGAAAATCAATTATAAACAGGAGAGCGTCTCTGCATCTGTTTCTGCTTGGAGTTATGCAGCACTGTCTGCCTCATTCTGTTTTTTTGGAAGGTCTGACTCCACTGCCATTCAGATGGTCATCCCTGTGGGATTAGTGATGGCACTAAAGTCTCTGGGACAGTGCTTGTAAATCAGAGCAGATGAACTGGGGGCGATGACAGGTCTGGGAGGCCTCCATTATTTTACCACGCCATTTATTGGGGCTTTTTGGGAGGGGGGGGGTACATCATTATAGGCGCTTAGTGTGTTTCCCAGTGTGAGACATGTAAAACTAGAATAAAAAATGATTTGGCCATTTTGTAAGGACCATATGTGGGCAGAAGGCTGCTTGCATGGAGGGAACAGGGTCTTATTAATGTCTAACCTTCAGCACTTTGCTTACACTACCTGGGGCCCATGTTACCTTCAGTTGATTCAACATGTCACCCTTTCACCACTAAGTACCAAAGAGCAGCGTTTTAAATTGAAAACTGAGTACATTCTTAGACCCTTGAAATTGCTAGAGACCTGTTTTCCTTTTGCCATACCAACATCACAGTAAACCAGACAGCCAGAGATCCTAACACTGTGCTAACCCATCAATCTTACTGACATCTGCACAGTCAAATATGCTATTTTGAAACAGTTTGGTTAATATAACAAAGCATTTTAAGTGACCATTAGTTATTTGGTGAGGAAAAACAACCCAGGCCCATATCTATGTATTACTACGTTCTTCAATCCCATGATTAGAATGCTTCACATATGGTGCAATGTAATTCAATAAATGTTACTTTTTTATTTTAAGCTAATTTATCAGAGATATTCTAAGCCTAAACACATTAAAAGTCTGCTATTGTTTACCTGTCAAGTTAAATTTTGCTGTGATCCAAAATACAAAACGCATCCTGAAATTAGATACCACTACATGTCTTGCATTCCCGGACTGACATCAGCCTGCTTTTACTCTGATAAACTATGTCATCACCCTCACACAATACAAGCCTTGAGTCCTTTTGTGTCTTTGTTTCTCTCTTGAGAGGATGTTTACAGCCATTTTATTTTTTCAAGATGCAGTGAAAGCAGCGTGATAAAGAGCCCTCATACTGAGACCACCACCAGAGCAAGAATAACTGTAAAGATCCTTTGAAAGGCCTTTGGGTTGAACAGACCTCACAAACTCCTCCTATTGTTACTGAGCAATTCCACTCCCATTCTGTCCATCTGTTCTTTAGGTCTTGTCTTTTGGTCCACCTTATGGATAGAAGGCATTAAAAGCATGTAGGCTTTGTCTTTACTCACTGGAGTGCATCGTGCAATTATCTATACAAGTAGAGCTTCCTGACTTTAAGAGAACAACTCACCAAATCCTAGATAACAAGGTGACAGTATGTCTTATGGTATTTTAACCACAAACCTCAAACAAATTGTATTTTCCACATTGAAATTAAAGATATCCAAGTAATGAACACATGAATAAAACACCAAATTATATAGTCAAAATGAGTTAGCCCGAGCTGCCAGGCCAATGGTCACGCAGTGGATAAGGATGGCTAGATGATTAGAATTGATTACCCTGAGCTAGTCCAACTCACATTCATTGGCAAGGTATAATGTAGTCCTTGATTCAATAAACAAATGTTATTCCATTCTAGTCCAGAGGAACGGCATACTCCTGAATGAACTTGTTTGTTAATGTGAGGTCCCAGACATTCTGTTAAGGATGTCAGTCATCTTCAGTGGTAGCCTACAGATTGCTATACAAAAGATTATGGTTTGACTCAGTGCCCTACACAGCCATAAACTTGGCACGCTTGATCCTACCATCAGAAACTGTATTTCTGCAGCCCTTGAGAAGCAAAATGAAGCAAACATAGAACACTGAAATTGTATATAAATGTAATAGTACCCTTGAAATAAATAGTACATTGTAAAACCAAGCAATAAACCTCCTTTTCAGCACTCACATTAAAACCAAACATGAAGAGGTTGACTGGGTCAGTGGGGAATGAGATCTTGTAGAACAGCACATAATGGTTATCTCCTGTACTAAAGGTGCTCTTGTGCTGGATCTGGGATGGCCTTGTGTGTATTGTTGGCATTCATCAGTCCCTGCATCTTGATGGGGCATGGAGATTGCACCATGTAATCTTACCGGGTAAGGAAGAGCTGGCAGTAGAGTGGAATGAATGAGATGAATGGGGAGAATTGGATGCTCAGCTGGATTGCAGTTCATAGACAACACGTGATTGTAAAGGATATTTGCATCATGCCCATTCATAAAACAAATCATCTGTGTATATTAAATACTGAATAATGAGACACGCTAGTACAGTACACGGCAATTGCTAAATCAGATTACTTAAATTTAATTGGCAAATAAATAAACCAGGAATGTTTTCTTCTTTATATTGAATATGATCTCTACAATCAGAGCAGCATAATAATCGTCCCCCTGGCTCAGTAAAATGTTATTGTTCAAGGAAATGAAACACTGTACTGAAACAGACAATCATACTGTTTTATTATCTTTGTTTCAATAAAGCAAGGCTACAAAGTGAAAGCACTGCAGAGGCTATTAATCAGAAGGTTTCCATCTTGTTGGCTGTGGCAGCCGGGGCCAACAAGATGATCATACACATAAATAAAAGGCCAAACGGCAGGACTAGTCAGAGGACACACAAGGGCAGGAGGCAAAATGCCAGACATCGAATTAGACAGCAATTTTGAATTAAATTAAAGCCATCTTCAACTCAGATTTATTAGTGAGTCACACAGTTCTTCTGGTAACCTGACCTCTTGTTTCTTACAAGTAAACACATTTCGTTACAGGTTTAATTAATTTACTTTAATTCCACCATACTTTACACCATTCTTTAGGCGTTAAAAAATCATTAAGCAAGACGCCTTGCCGGAAATACATTTGCTCTTTCTTGAAACTATATTATCAAATCATTATAGTAACATACTGCTGACACAAGTGTTTGGGATGGGAAAAAGCAGGGTTTTCTCAGAGTCACATTGCCTGAAATGAAGACCACCATCGCAAGAAATAAATGTACCTTTATGAAATTAAATGTTAGCCTTCAGTGAGAAAGAGCAGATGCACTATTTCACACAAATGTCACATATTTAACAAATGTGGCTAGTCTGTCATCTTCATACTTATATGAGAATTGGATGCATCCGAGTAATGGTGGCTTATTGCCACCTCTGCCTAACAATTTCCTGGGGGAAACCCTAACCCAGCAAGCAAAATACCAGGGTCTGGAAACTGAAGCAGCTAAATGGAATCCAGCCATCATTAATTTTATTATATACACCTGGTTTTCTTACTGACACGCCAAAATATATACAGTGAAAAAACACTGAACATGAATATTTACAGTGTTATGTAGCCAGTAAAACATAAACCCAAATGAAACCATTGAAAAAGACAAAGTATAATGTCTAATGGAAAACATCACAAAAATACAATACAATTTATAAGTCTGTGAAATTATATTATATTATGTTACTGTATACAATACAGTGTAATTATTGAATATGATTGTAAATCAAACCTAAATTTCGTTTATATTAGAAGCAGTAGACATAATTTAAGGCATTTATCATATTATTATCTGGTAAAGTGATACAGCCTACACATTTGTGTCAGGAAAATATCATTTTTTCTACTTTTTAAAATGGTGTTATATAGACCATAGATATATCATAAATCCATGAGATAAACATATATTCACATAGCATTACTTGTATATCTATATTTTTTCCTTAAATCTTTATTACAAAAAGAGGAATAAAGTGCACACGCGACATAGAGAAATACAACGTTACAGAAAGGCATAGAAATATGAAGAAGAAGACACAAATAATAATTAGTTTGCCAGGAGTAGTCTATGTTATGTAAAGATATTAAAAGAGGACCGTATGTTGACAGTTTTACCAGCCTTAATGTTCTTGCACATCTATTCACAGAGCGCTTGACGTTTTGTACCCCGGAAGTGATTGTCTTTACCTAACGGGGTCAAAATGGCGGCATGCTGCATGTGAAGAGGTCGAAACGAGAGCCGGCTTTATGATTGGAGAACATGTATAAAACGCCATGTAGCAGACTGTCAGGTAATACAGGAGAGTATGTCGTATTGCGTCTAACGTGCCGTAACATTTGAAAGTCATTTTTAAGTTCGCACCCGCTAAAAACAGCCTTTGAAGCTAAGACGGAAGCTAGCGTGCTAGCTTACCATAATGTTATAGCTATCTGGATGGCACCTGATATGTTTTGCAGGAGGCTAGCTGTGACCTTAAATAGAAGTCAACCGCGTATTCAGAGACCAAGATTAGCTAATTACTGCCTGGTTTTATAATGGCAGTGTGTGAGCTGTTGTATTGAAATGTTAACGCTACAAAACAATGTTGATGTGAGATTTTAACTGTTATATTAGCTACGCGACAGGTCAGAATCAGAATAAGATTTAGTTGCCAGGTATGTGGACACATACGAGGAATTTGACTCAGGATTGTACATTGCTCACGATGTGCTTACTCAGACAATAACACAATAATAAAATGAAACACAGGCTACAGTATACAGAACACAAATACACACTATAAACAAAAACAAAATCAATATAGACAGATTGACAAATAGTGCAGTGAGCAGAATGCAAAGGATGCAGGACGAAATTATTATTATCATCAATATTATTATGTGCATGTAGAGGTCTGTTATAGTAAGGACGCTGTTGGCAACACATTCCTATAATGTTTGTCTAGATTATGTTAAAACGTTTCTGGGGTATTGTTAATATTTGAGTCTACCCTCATTCGTGTAAATGGGTGGTGTATACCATTTTAGGAACACCTCTCAGTATAACGAATTGCCCCAAGGACCATAAAGTTGAGTCAACACCTTTGTAAAACAGTCTCAATAAAAGTTACATTATAGCCCTCATGAAAGTACGATTTATTGCAAGGTAATATTATTCTGCTTTCATTTTAGTGAAATGTTCACCATAAGCTAGCAACAGAGTGTATGCAAAGCATACTCATACTAAGTCTCACAAAGGCTTAGTGAGACAATGGGGAAGAGTAGAGCTGTATTATCATGATACTGATACTACACTGCAGGCACAAAGTGGTCTCAGCAATCTTTGTTATCATGACCATCATAGAAATAACTTTTAAGTGTTTGGTTAGATCGATAACATGTTGTTTGTGATACATGCTGTTTATAGTTCCATGTAATGCATTCATTATTTGTTTTTAGTTTTTGTCATGTGTGTTATCTGTATATTTTTTATGAACGACATATTTTAACCCAACCATAATCTATTTTAATGACTAAAAATTGTATTTCTTGTAGGTTTGGTTGGTTTAAGTGTGAAACAGAAATTAGTTCAAATTCTTCCCCGATGTAACCAGACTGCTCGCAGCCTTATTCAGCTGCACAGAAGAGATCCATCAAATTGGCTGACATACCAGCATCTCAGCTTCCTGAAACGGCAGGTAACTTTCCCTGCGCCTGATATCTAATTTATTTTTCATTTCAGCTCAAACATTTTGTTTTCCTCGTTTTCAATGCATTTTTTTCTTAACACATTGAAGGTGATTTTTGTTGTATATGCATTCAGTTTTGTTGTCATAACATAATCACATTGTCCACCTGTTTCCCCTTCAGTATGTTGCAAAGAACAACAGTGAGCTTCACCAACGTGCCATCCCGAAACAGGCTCCTGTCTTGGCCATTGTGGATGAGAGAGATGACAGCCTTGAAAGACAGTTGCAGAGAATACCAACTATTGATCCTGTGGTCACAGAAAGTATTCCACAGCCAGAGGATGTCACCAGTAAGGCACAGCCTGAGCTATACAACTTGAACTCCGCTGCAGAAGATGCAACAGCACAGAAAGATTCTGTGTCCAGTACTGTTGTTACTTCAGATGAGACTCCACATGTCCAGATGGAGACGGATCAGGCAAGGGAGGCACGTCTAGACAGACAATGGAAGCAGCTGAAGGTTGACGTGTCTGACTTGCCAGATATCTATGCCAGGCTTGCCAAAATCAAACTCACAGGTAGAGTACACAGTACATCTTGATTTTGTCGCATAATATGCACAGACTGAAGTTGATACACAAAATAATTACCCAGAATACATGCCTTGCTAAATAAGACAGATACATGATGCAAATACGGAGATATAGTCATTGCTACATATACAAAAGTACCTGCTTATTTACCATATACAGATTAGAAGTTTGAGTGTTTCTGTCACTTAGAGACTTTATCCTGTTATTTTCTCTTTTTACAAAGAAAAGTATTGCAGTATGAGAGTCCTACCTGAAGAGAGGCTATGAAGTCTTCATGCACGTGATACGAGAACCACATACAACATTATTTATCAAATTGGGTCGAAATTGATGGATTTAGCGTGGATACAAATGTGACAACGTCCAGTTTGCAAAATAAGGTGTCCATACAATAAGGAAAAAAGATTAATGGACACATGTAATTTACTGTACCGGGCCCTCTCAGGCCTTGGACCCACCCACTATAGTCTCTCCAAATCCATTGGGTAACACTGAGTAAAAAGCACATTTTGACTATTTAATTTTTAAATTATATTCCAAGAATTTTCATTTTGGTGCATCCCGATTAAATAGAACTGATTTGTTGACCACACAGAGACATGCTGTCAGCTGGATAACCTATGGATAGTAATTTAATGACTGATGGTAATTTGTTTTCAGATAAATAGAAAGAGTGTATGGAATCAATACAGGAACAAAACATTGCATCTGCAGTGGTATTTACCTGTTACTTCAAGAAGTAATACCTTAAGAAGGACACTGAAATTTGTTTTAATTTGTTCTGTTGTTCCTGCTTGGTGGTTTCAGCACTGGTGGTTACGACTGCAGCAGCTGGCTATGCAATGGCTCCTGTGCCCTTTGACCCTGTCATCTTCTTCGTGGCGTGTCTGGGAACAGGCCTTGCCTCTTGTACTGCCAATTCAATCAACCAGGTCAGTTACCCCTCAGCAAGTCTATTTCAGTATGTGTGAGTGTGTGTTTTGTATTTGGCTCTTTGCACACACATAAAGGCCTAATCACAGCACTCCAAATGTCAAAATCTGATAATGTGTGATTAATGTTTTTTAACATTCACTGTTTGGCAATGGGATTTAATCAACACATGGGCCCTGTTTAAGAAAGTGGGTTTAGTGAAAACCCTGGTAAGTTAACCCTGAGATGAGGGAACCTCTGGGTTTTCTGTTCCAGAAAGAGAGGTAACTTCTCGTGGTAACTGACTCCTGAACCTGACCTGCTCGCTGGCAGGTGTTCTTCTACAAACTTTCTACAAAGTTTCTCTCAGAATCCTCCCTCTTACAGAGCCAGACGCGCTGTTCGTCATTGAGTTAGTCCATATCAAAGCGCATTAGTTAATGGGGGTTTACTGTATGTCAGAATCCTGGTTAGAAATTTGTTTGTTACGCAGGACTGTCTAAAGCCTCTGCTTTTATGCAGTGTCAGTCATGTTTTTGCCCTCACATTCAGATATTACACAGCACCAAGTCACCCTCAGTTCAGAATAAAACCTCGGCATGTCCTTTTTTTTATAACACTGACTGTGCACACAAGACAGCTGTCAGTTTGTTAAAGCAAACATAATGTGTAATCTCAGTTTAAATTGAAAAAAATAGTATGAAGCTTTAGACACTTAGGATCAATGAGTAATTATCTCTGTTACTCATGAGGATTGGTCGCACTGATTGAACATAATTCCTAGGGCTGCACCAAATGGCAACAAAATCATATTGACAGATACAAATTTCAATATGAATCACGATTAGTGGGAATTATCATTTTTGCATCACAATTTTAATTTTCACTGAAAAAACAATTAAAATCATGATGATGTGACATTTGTTGGGGTTTGTATCAAACAGACATGTTTTCTTCCACCTGCAGAACAAGATTTGTAGGCCGTGGCACTGCAGCAGTACAGTATTTATAATGCTGTTTTGTCAGCATTTTATTAAAAAAATCGCAGCTTCTGCAATTTGGATGTTGCACTTGACAATACTGCTATTCCGATAATATTTTGATGAATTGTGCAGCCCTTATAATTCCTATATTTATTTGATTATGATTAAATGTTAATATTTGAGTGAGCAGGATTGTGGTGCAGATGCAAAATCTTGAAGATAGAGTTTAAAAAAAAAGTGCGTTAACTCTGACTGTGTTAACTGCATTTCACTGACTTTGTTTAACACATAATTACTGGATCAGATTTTGAGCTGACATCATGTTTCTTTGTCTTTGAGCTCTGTATACATCTTCAACTATATTTTTATCTTCGGTAGCTGGCCCTTGTGTTTTTTCCCCATTAGATTAAAACTGAACAAATATATTTAAAATGTAAAAATGTAAGATAAATGATGACTTAAAGAGGTGGTATTATGCTCATTTTCAGGTTCAAAATCTTATTTAGGGGTTTTACCAGAACATGGTTTGATTTTCAAAATGGTTACATGGTTTAATTTTCAAAAAACACCATATTTTTCTCATACTGCACATTGCTGCAGCTCCTCTTTTTACCCTGTGTGTTGTACGTGCCGCTCTTGAGCTACAGAGTGATGCATCTTACTTGTACAAAATCTTTGTTGGGAGTTGCACATGCGCAGTTCCCAGGTAAGGACTACTAGCCAATCAGAAGCAGAGAAGGGCGGGTCGTAAGAAACAAGGTAGTGTGATCCAAATCAAAGCCGCTTCAGACTGCGACCGTAACCTAGCAGATGGTATAAGTTACTCACAAGTCCACAACCACACAACATCATTGTTCCACATCAAAAATCACCATATTTCAACTAAATAAAAATTGGCCAAACAATTTGAATGTTTGCTCAGTAGCTTTCACATCAGGTGTAACATTAGCATTATAGTTATAACTTTAGCTGTGTTAGCCAACGTTTACAACAACTCCGCACTTGAACAGTCTGTGAAGTTACATTGCCGTGTTTATTTTAAATATAATTCACAACCCTTAAAAGCATACTTACAGGTTGTGATTGTGAATTTCCAGGCCCAAACAGAGTCGGAGTTGCATCGTCTTTTAGGACTAAACGTTGAACTGCTGCCGGTGTTCTGACGATCTGTGCTGCCTTGCCAAAAAATGCTACCATAGCGCAAATCGATAGACTCGACTCTACTCGGCCCTGCTCCGTTTTCCATTGCAGATAACGTTAGCTTGTCGTCATAGCGGCGCCACACACGACTGCCACGACGTAATGTTCAATGCGACACACACATCAGCGATCCACACAGCTTTCTCTTTTTTAAGTTAAAACGTTTCAACATTACTGAGAATGTAAAGACAGATAAGCGGTATGAAAACCTTCCAGCTGTGTTTTCCTCTGCCGTTGTTGCTGCAGCGGTTTGTGTGACGGTGGGAGCAGAGGGCTCTGTGAGCGGGCGGCTGGCCGGCCGCTCACTCTCCTCCCGCGGGTTGGCGCAGGCATCACCGGAGCTCCTCAACTCCGAAAATATTCAAGCACATTTTTGTTCCGCCATCACTTCTCGTAAACTGTCAATATTCGAAATCTACACAGTTGATTTCTAACCTCAAAACTTCTCAGAAGCGGATTTAGTGATGAAATTCCAGACGAAACCTGTAAAATATAAAACTTTCTGTTGCTGGCAGTGAATAGTGACGATTCTCTCTGTCGTGTTTTCATGTTACATTTTAGTTTCCCTCAGCTCGCTTGGAACCTTGACGGCGGTGAGGTGATAAGAAAAAAAGTACCTGGAAGCAGGTACAGGTACAACATTTCTACAATGGAAAACCAAACAAAGGCGAGTTGAGCCAAAGGGCCTCCGCTCAGACTAGCTTGGTTTGAGGACGTGCCTGACCCCGCTAGCCGCTTGGCAAGCTTTATGACGCGTTTTCATTGTGACGTCACAAGTAAAGGAAGTGAAGGGCTGGACTACAAACCAGCTGTTTACAAGTGTTCAGAGCAGAGTTTTCTGTGGGAGATGGGAACTCCCTTTGGGCTGGACTTTGGGCTTTTTCACTTTGCAAACCTGTTACATGCACAAAAAAAGAGATATAACTCAATAAAGGAGAGGGGAAAAGCCAAAAAGCATAATACCACCTCATTAACTGACAACACTAAATAAAACTTTTTGGTGTTAACTTATTGACACTTTTCCCCAGTCTGACTCAAGCTCTTTTTTTAAAAGATAAATGTGAACGGCCCGCGTACACATGCATTAATATCTCTAAATCCACTGGATTAAAATAGATGCTCTCTCCTTTGATTTACCTTTAGCCTTGGTGAATCATAGCATTGGCGCTCCGTTGATGATAGCCTTTTTCATTCACCACCCACGAGCTTAATTCAGAGCTGAAAACTTGGTTTTCCATCTGAGGTTTAGTCAACACAGTTCAGGGTTAGATTCAGTTTGTTAAACCTGCTTTCTGAAACAGGGCCATTGTCAACAAAAACTGAACATTATAAGCTTCAAAAAGGAGTTACTGTAGGATTACACAGGTGGATCTAATAAACCATGTGTAAATTGAATTATTAACTGAAGCTTATTTATCCAAACTACAAAGATTCCATGAAGCTAAAAATATTAAACACATGGCTTGTGTAATTGTTTCAAGAATTGCAGTAAACAGTACAGATGTTTCTGGTCTTAAATCTGTTTGTTTTTTAATACCAATATCCTTTTTGGAACGAAAGTGTTGAGGACTCAGTGCTGGAAAGAGATCTATTGGTCTTTTAATGCATGATAGATTATTTGGTTGACATGTTATACAAACATGAACATGCATGTTGACCGACATCCACGGTTGTCCTCATAGTGATGCCTGTGCTCTAGAAAATGCTGAAAGAGCCAGTATATCCCTCCTTTTTATCCATTCTGCATTCCTCTTTTGCTACGCATCTCAAAAATTCATTGAGCTGGCTGTAATGCTGTTATTATTTCCCTGCTCAAAGCTTTTTTTGAAGCTATAATGGAATATGGAGCCACCTTCTGCTGTCTATTTGTTGACGTACATAGGAATTTGCTCCGTGACTTACAAATATTAGTATAATAGGTGACCTGTCCCTCAGCCCTAGATTGAACTCAGCTTAGTAGTGTCTTTGGCCTGTAATTTGGCAAAGGCTTTCATTACACTGCATGTCCAACGCCCCCATCCACCTCCCACCAAGCCTACCCTCAACAGCCTACCAACTAGGGCTGACTTTGGAAAATAATGCTTAGCAGGGAAGCAGCGCATTGGTAGTAACTCGGGACAGACTGGGCCTCTTTCGGATTTGTGGGTTTGGTTTGAAACGCCGTTACATAGATAGTTCCTGAGCTTACTTACTACAGTAAGGTAATCGTGTAGTAAGGTGCATTTGTCCTGTCCGCCAAAGCGCGGATGGGCCGAAGATTTCACCCACCACAACCACTACTTTCATTCCCTGTGTGACACTAAATTTCTGTAGTGTCAGCTTCTGCCAAGCTTAAGGCCATTTTACAACAACAAGTCAAGGTATGGCGTAAGGTGCAAAGTTTATGCTTCCTCTGCAGACTGGTTTACTCTCGCGTGTCATGTGACCAGATTGTAATCACAGCCTTTGCGATGAGAAAATCGCAAATGCAATAAATCGTTCAGCCCTGCTACCTACGTTCCAGCTGCTGCCTTCATTGTTTTACAACAATAATAAAGTGAACTACCAAGTCAAGTAAACACGTCCTGCGCCCTAACTTGTTTTCTGTTATAATATAGGCACAGTCTAACCCCTCCTGTTTGTCACCTCAAGGGGTTACATCTATGGATACGATGTGAAAATGTTAACACAGTTTTGTTTTGGTGGTCAGGTGTGACTAGTGTCAATCAGTCCATCGCTCAGGTTAAAATTGTATTGTCTCTTCAGTGGCCTGCACAGAGCTGTGCTCCAACTCCTCTGTGCACCTCAACGTCACACTGAGCAGGTGTGTAAATACCCTTCAGGTATTTGAAAAATGT